AAACCAGGAACAGGCTGCTTGGTACAATCTGTCCTGCCTCGGGAAGTGTTTGTTTTCTTCCCTTTGCTTCCATGTTTAGCTCGTGTGTCTTGCCCCTAGCCAGGGCAGTGTCGAATCCTAGAATTGTTTGGGTTGGATTGGAAAAGTCCTTTAAGACATGGAGTCAAACCATTCCCCCAGCACTGCCAAGGCCACAAATGCCCCGTGTCCCCAAGTGCCACATCCACAGGGCTTTAAATCCCTGCAGGGGACGCCAGCACTGCCCTGGGCAGATGTTCCAGTGAAGAAATTTCCCCAATATCCAACTTGAACCTCCCCTGGCCCAGCCTGAGGCCGTTCCCTCTCCTCCTGTCCCTGTTCCATGGAGCAGAGCCCGATCCCCCCCAGTGTCCCCTCCTGTCAGGGAGTTGTGCAGAGCCCCAAATCCCCCCTGATCCCCCTTTTCTCCAGGCTTAGCTCTTTCCCAGCTCCCTCAGCTGCTCCTGGTGCTCCAGCCCCTCACACATCTTCCCAAGGTTTCTTGGCATTGTTTTCCCTAAAAGAAGATTTCCAGGTTTGGCCCAGTTGGAGAAAACACCCCGGGCTTGTAGCAAAGTTTCATGAATTTCACATGAATTTTCATGACTCCACCTCTGGATTTTGGTGCCTGTGCCTGGGGAGGGTTCTGGGATTCTGCACCATCCCTGGTGGATTTTAAAGGAAGGCTCAGGGCMATGGGGAGTGCAGTCCTCCTCTTTATGGTGCGTGATTTTCATCCTTTTTAAACCCCAAACCCCATCTCGACCTGTGTTTAGCAAACCCAGACAACGCTTTTCTTCCAAAGCCTTCCCATCCTTTATCTCACGTTCCAGCTCTTCCAGCAGGCTCATTCCCCTGGAATGGGCTGGAAAACCGGCCCAGGTTTTAGTGCCTTGGCTTGTTATCCTGTACCAGCACCCGGATTAAAAAATAAATGAAGCCACTCCTGGGCTGGCTGGGGCTCCTGGCACTGCTGCCTGCCCAGGCACATGCCTCCCTGCTTCCAGAATAGCTCAAAAATGCAGGCAGACAATTAAACAAAAATAATAATAATAATGGGCTCTTTGCAAGAA